TGAGGCCAGCAGGAGCTACAAAGTGAGTTCAAGGCCAGCCTGTACTACACAGCAAAACCTTGTCTCAAAAAATAAAAAGATAACTGGCATAAAAATTTCTCAGCATCAAAAGAGTCAACAGATCAGAACAGATCTGGCCTTTAATTTGCATAATCTGGGCTTCTAGTTGTAGATTAGAATATTTAAAAAAAACACAGACATTAAATTTCAGGGAAGTGGGAGAGGAGAGAATGGGAAAGGGAAGATAATCAAAATCGATCAAGATACAAAGTATATATATGTACCAATTCCCCCAAATGAATACAACTATTATGTATTGCAAATATATACCAATAAACTCCACAAAAAGTTTAAGATTCAAGCATACTTAATACTGGGAAAGATATGTTAAAATAGTACTCTCACACACTGCCAGTAGCAATGTACAATGATATATAGTCTTTTTGGAGACATACAATCTAATAGCAAATACTGAATCCTACAGATGTTTATATCCTTTGACTAACAATCTAACCAAGGCCGGGGATTTAGCTCAGTGGTGTAAGCACATGCCTGGCAAGTGTAAGGTCATAAATTCAATCTCTGGTACCAAAACAAAACAAAAGAACAAAAAACAAAAGCAAAAAACAATCTAACCATGGAAGCATTCCTAATTTCAGAGTGAAATATTTATACTAGATCTTCCAGTATAGCCACTATTTGTAATAATGAAAACTTAAGATATATCTAAATTTATAGAAGAGATGATATAACCACATAATAACATTTGAAATGGTAAAGTTTTAATACTATGTAAACTGATTATGACACACATTTAAAAATAAAAAAATCTTCAATTCAAAAAATAGCACTTGTTACCTAGTCCCCTCCACTTTTTTTGTTTTTGTACTAGGACTGAATCCACTACCTTTACACTAGACTACATCATCAGCCCTGTGTGTCTGCTTGTTCATTTGTTCATTTATTTAAATTTTGAGACAGTGACTAAGTTGCCCAAGCTCGGCTTATACTTGTGATCCTCCTGTCTCAGCCTCCTAGGATCTGGGATTACAGTTATGTACCACCACACCCAGCTCCTCATCCCCTTTTTCAAGCAGAGGAAAAATAGTAAATATGCCAAAAATCAACTAGTGGATGTCACAGGAGAACAGAATTGTGTAATTTTTTTGCATCTTAATATATCATCTTGACTATCCTACAATAAGTACTTACAGCATTTTTCTAATCAATACCATACCCATCTCATTTTCTGAATATAATTACTGCTTGTCATATGGTCTATCCCTTGCTGACTGTTTCTATCATTTATGAACAACCCAGACACATTTTCTATAAATGAGATGATTATGTGGACAGTGGGTACTGCAGTCATATATGAGCTTCATAATCAGAATGGAATAATAAAATTTCTTCATGAATATATTCAGCCATCTGTAATTCAGGGACAGGAAGCAGGCCAGTGACTTCTCTAAGCCCTCTGCCCTTCTCTCACGTAGGGTGCACCTGGTATTCTACTTCTCACTACACTGCTTGGAGAAGTTAAGCCAGCTGCTAACATGATCACACAGAAGTGAGATCAAATCTGCTCCATTCCAGGCAGCAGGACACGATGGAGACATATTTAACATTGAAAAGGGGCAAGATTCACTCAACTTTTTTGTAAAATTTTATTTAAAGAAAGACTAAACAAAACAGAAAATAGAAATAATACATATGTTCAGAGAAAAAAATAAACAGTAAAAAATCACTAGTTGATGTTTAATATTGTCATTTTACAAATAGTTGTTCAAGGTACAGAAATGGAACATGTAAAGTGGGAATTCAAACAGCAAGACCGCAAACAGTTCTGTTCAACTCTCCAACAAAAACTACTCAACTTCTTCCAACTGGAAAATTCTCCTTAGTACTGTCACTGCTACTGCAGGTACCAAGTGACTACAAGGAAGGCCATCAGTGAGTCATACGACTGCCACCACTAAAATGGCTTTTCAGATCTGACTCTCTTTGCATCATGAGAAAGTGGGAAAGACCAGAGCTGACTCATCAAGTGATTTGTCCAAAGACACCTTGGTTGGGAGGCAAAGCAAAAGTGGGCTAGGCATGGTGGTGCACTCCTGCAATCCCAGCACTCGGGAGGCTGAGGCAGGAGGAGCCCTGCAAGTCCAAGTCCAGTCTGGACTACGTAGCAAGACTCTGTCTCAAAAAAACGAAACAAAACAAAGCCGAAGTGGGAACTGGGATTCCAGACCCCAGCCTCAGCCTCCAACGCCCCTGCCACCTTCCAGAGCAGAAACAGAGAAGCTATGGCCAGATCCACTTCCGTCCATGCCTCCCTCCTCTCTGCTTCCAGTCTGGCTTCTGGGTGGGGAAGGCTAGAGAGCCTCACAGCAGCCACTGCGAACTCTCAGGACAGGGAATAACCCGTTCGCTCTAGGCCGAACCCTGACCCGCCTTCCTGACCCCGTGTGCATGAAAGATCAGAAGGTGAAATAATGGAAGAAAAGCAGAACTCTGAGGAGAATGGGCATTCTCCGTTCTCTCAGTGTTAACAGGTAAGCATTGTGTATTCCTTCCCACTGAAAACCACTGCCGCAGGCTACACTGACAATGCTGGGGTCTCAGTGCGTCGTCCTGTGCTAATTACAAGCAGGCATTAATGCCTGCTATGCACATTTTGCAGCTATGTTATAGCACAAGAAAAAGGTGGAAAGGGGAATTAACCACGATCTATGAATCTACGATGGGGCCACAAATTCGTGTTTGATTTACTTAGGAGGCTCCCAAGCTGTGCGGCACGGCTCCCCTGAGGCTGAGCAGCCGCCTGCTCCACCCAGCTCGCTGCCAGCCGAAGCCTGCAGCCTGTGGAAGGAGCTTTTCTGCTGCAGGTTCTGCTGCCCAGCGTCAGGAGCCTCGTCTCATTACCACAGCCATTCACTGAAGGCAGCCACTGTTCTGGGGACCATAGGGAGCACAGTGATGGGACAACACCCACAGAGCCTTCCTTGGTCCAGCTGCTGGGTTTTCTCCAACACTGGAGCTATGGCTTCACACATACCCACATGTACACACACACACACTCTGACACACACACAGAGACACACATGAGTGAGCTACTCATTGGGAAATAAACCCAAAATTCTGTACGTCAATGAATGAGGGATTTGCAAACATCAAAAACTTCAAGGAGACCTAGGTGACAAAACCAAAACACAAAAGAAGCCCAGAACATCCGAGGGCTGGAACCTAATTACCACTTAGACATAAACACTGATGCAACGACACGCGGCCCCCTGTAATGCTGCACTGCTCCACAGGCGCCAGGCGCGCCAATCAGGCCTCTAGTATTCACCCCACGGCCTTCGCAGCACTGCTGCGTCTTCACCCCATGGAACGCGGCGCCAACTGTCACAGGGCCACCGTAAGGACTGCCCGCTGCCCACGCAGGAAGTCACATGGGCTGCAGGACTTCCTGCCCTACAGGGAGTCACGTGGGCTGAAGGCCAGCCCTCTCCGTAGGAAGTCGCATGGAAAAGAGCACTCAGCCATCTCCAAGGGCACCAGGCACTTATTTCAGAATACAAAGTGTTAACTCTATTCCCACATTCTAAAATGCAACTTCTTTTAAAAATGAATTTTGGAAAGATAGAAATACTTGTTTTATTTATGAATCATATTTCCTCTCAACAATGGGTATAGTCCTTTCTGTTGGAATGAGAAGCTTCTTTAGATATCATTTTCCTTTTATTTCTTTTAAACAGAGGGAACACACCAAGCACTTTCTGTAATTATTATCAGCAACAGAGATTTTTTTTCCCCTAGAAGCTAATAAGGAAATTTTGTAATCACCTGGGCCTTTCTCACTGACAAGACTTACTCTACCCGTAATGAATAATTTATGGAAGATAGCTTAAGATCTACATTTTGAAGTTTTATTTTTGTATCTGACAAATCAAGGTGTAATTGTATTGAGTTGGGTCAGAGTCTGTTTTCAGTTTCCCTAACGTGATGAGAGGGTCACAAAAAGTGTATAACTTCTTGTTAGCTGTTTTCCTCTCCATATTTTTTTTTTAAGTATTTCAAGGTCACTCACACTGCCCCATCTTGGGTGTCCCAGGGTCACACTGCAGTAAGGTGCTGACAGGAGCTCTGGGAGGTGCTTTGGAAAGTTCCCAATTCACTGTTTGTCTTGGCAAGAGACCAAAGTTAAAAGTAAAATCAACCTTTCTTGGGAAAGACTTCTAAAAGTAAATGATTATATTACCTGCTCTACATTTCCACCATAAAATTAGAATTACACCTTCTTCTTTGTAACAGGCCCTCTGAAGTCCTACTTAATTCATTTGCAAATAACAACTTCTATCCTTGCATAAATGAAGGCATCTTACAACCCCGTTTTTAAGTTTACGTATTTAGTGTACTGAAGTGACAGAATTATCTATGTGAGTAATCACTACTGGCCATTATGACAGTTCATCTTTATTAAAATTAGATTAGCAGCACTTTCCCACGGAGATAAATGCAGCTTTCAGTTGCTCTGGTGATAACAATTCTGAGTGCTCGCTGTGGGAAATAAATGTAGAGGATGGATGGGTGCCTGGTGTAGGCCCGGCATGACCCTCAACTCACTGGTATTTTTTACTCAAATAAAGAGCAATGAACAAAATAAGTAAGTTTTAAAGGAGCTGTTTTTAGATGAATAAAAAACTAGAATCTTAAAGACAAAACAAAACTGTATGTGACAGATCACCCCACCCTTGCAGATTCCCCCCAAATTAATTGTACAGTCAGAGGAGGAGGGAAATACTAAGAAAAATGTAAATAACTTTTTAAAAATATATACTATACATTTCCCTGGATTTTGTTGAAATTGGGGCGGTATTAGTTTGTCTTGCAAAAGGCAAGCATCATCCCTTCACCCCAGGTACTCAAGCCTGGAACAAAGTACGGAAAACAAGAAGAAATAAAAATGCACAAGGAACTTGGTGAAAGTGAAGCCATACCTTGTATTTCGAAGACAACATCAGCAAGCATTGGTTTATTTAGGAAAAACTTGAGGGAAGTGTTATAAAACCACAGAGGTTTTCTAGCTTGGTAAGTTTTGCAATTCCGTAGGCAATTAATCTATAAGAAAAAAAATAAAAACACAGACACCAGGGGAAGTTGTTCAGTACATTTTGATAAAACCTGCAGAACTGCAAATTCTTTGAAGAAATAATGCCCACCTGATGGTGAATGTGATGACACTCTCACAAGACTGACCCTCTGGCCCCTCAGTTGCCACCATCAAAGGGCACCCTCAGCCCCCAACATTCCCGGCAGCATGGCAACTGTGCCAAAAAAAGTCAACATGCAACTGGCAAGCTATAGGATCCAGAGTCCCCACAAACTAGTTCAAACTCATAAATACCTACATATACCTTCTGATTCCTTGCCCCCCCCCCCACACACACACAGCGGGCAGCTGGGATTGAAATGAGGGCTTTTGCACTGAGTTACCTTCCCCAGGCCTTTTTATTTTCTATTTGGAGACCAGGTCTCACTAAATTGCCAAGTTGTATGGCTTGAACTTGCAATCTTCCTGCGTCAGCTTCTCAGAGTACTGGGATTATAAGTGTGTACTACCTTGCCAGACTACTGTATTTGACTTTTTCATTAAGCAAATACACGGACAAATTGGGTGTGGTGGTGCATGCTTATAATCCCAGCATTTGGGAGGCTGAAGCAGGAAAGTCCTTCCAAGCAGAAGGTCAGCCTGGGCTACATAATGAATTCAAGGCCAGCCTGAACTGCATAGCGAGATCCTGTCTCAAAAGCAACAGCAACAAAAAAAGTACATAGACAAATTATATATGTGCTAAGCAAAGTATATTTTCCCCTTATGTACATATCCTTTTCCTGCCAAGGAGCTCACCCTTTTCTCCTAAAGGAATGAACCTGACTGAAACGCCTGAGCATGCCTAAGTCAGCACCGTGCCATCTTAACTGCTGCAATACCACTCTGAGCAGAGATGCCACAGCTGGAGAAAGCCGCCTACGTCTCTAGAAACACCTCTGTCCTCCCGTCCTGTCACTCCTGCCTGCTCCAGCGGGCAGCCTCTGGGATGCGGCCACTGTCCTGCTCAGGCTGACCTCCTCCGCTATCCTGCCTGTGGTCTCTCCTGACATCCCTAGGTTCAACTCTAGGAGCTGAGGGCAGCCTTCCTTTTCTCATCTTCCTTCTCTCCTTTCTTTTTCTCTTTCTTTCTTCCTCTCTACTCTTAATTATTTTGTTGAAATTGGGGCGATTACAATGAGTAAGAGGAAAAAAGCCTGAACAACATTTGCAAGTAGAGCTGCCCAAAAGAAGAAGTCCTAAATCATTTTAAGTAGTATCTGGATTCATCAGCACCGTGACCTTACGTGGGACTACGTAACCCCTCATTTTGGATTCACTATTGCACTCATTGCTGACGGCTCTGCCCATTTCCCTGGCTGAATCGTAGAACCTCCGTCCTGGGCAGAGCTCTGATCCCCTGCCTCCCTAGCTAGGGAGATCGGAAAGCTTGACGCCTAAGAATAATCAGAGCTGTAAATTTAGCAATGAGGAAAAAAGTGACACCGGCTCCCTGCTCTCAACAGTATGAATTTTTAAATTTCTGAGAGAAGGAAGTGTGACTCAGGACAGAACCTCAGAAAAGCCCAGGAGGAGAAGAGGAAGGACTCTTTCCTCCCTCTGTGCAAAAGAGGGACATTTAGATCAGTATTTTTGAATCACAGAGCCTCACACGTCCCCAAGGGGGTCCCTTTCATTCTCAGTACTCAGAAGAACATGCGCAGAATGGGGCATACAAAGTGATATTCAAATAATGACACTGCAAACAGTTCTGCTCCATGATCCAACAAAACTTAGTAATATGGTTATCAGTCCTACACACTTGTTTTTTATCTTAAAGAGGGTAAGATTAAACATGTCAAAACAGAACAAAACAGTTCATAAGGAAACAATTTTTAAAAACACAGATTTCTAAGCAAGTCCACTGGAGATCTTCACTGTCTATCTAACTGTCTCTAGTTTATTTCCAAATAGCTGTCCCCATCTTCACACACATTGAATATATACTGAACATTATAGAACTAATCATCAAATCATTACAGGATGCTGAAGACTTTTTAGGTCTTCAAGATCTGATTTTTGGGCAGTCAATAATGACTACCATAATGTCTCTCTTTCTCTTCGTAGTAGCTGTCATTATCTTTACGTATGCTGAAACTGAACATGGGAGACCAGACTAATATCACTCTGAACAGCAAATACTATTATTGCTAGATTTTATATCATAATGCTATAAATTAGCATTGGGTTTCTTAGTGTTGCTTCTTCTTCAGAGTATCTGTTCATTACATCATGCATTATATAATCTGTTCCCATAAATAGTTTAGAAATTCTTCCCATGTGTGAATTTCTACATGTATATCTATCCTTTCTGTATTTTAGAGAAAAACGTATCAAAACAAGACAACAAAACAAATTCCTAGAAAAACATGCAACGACAAATACATATAAGACCACAATATTAGGTAATCTACAGTAGTTACTATGCTTTCTCTTGTTATTTTCAATAGAATTTTCTACATCATCAGGTATTATATAGTTAAGCATAGCATTACATAGTTATTTTTATTAAAACACGTCTTTGGAGACATTGTAGGACTTGAAAGCTGTTAATAATCAAAACTGGAATGGATATCTTTTACATCTTGTCCTCTTCAGAGTAGTTGTCTCTACTCTTAGACTTGATACTATCAAGCTACCAAATTCGAATAAAATCAGTCAAGGCAAAATAGCAGTCTAACAAACCAGCTGCAAATAAGATCAGTCATAGTAAGACAATGTAAGTAATCCAGGGTTTCAGTGTAAGTTAACAGGAAATTAAGGATAGTCACCGTGGTATAACCTGTTATTTTTGGGTTAGCTACCTGTGGCCTCAAATCTCATATGAGTAGACAGACCAGAACAAAATATAATCAAACTAAACAGAGCAATAAGACTACTGTGGCTTTTAAATTCTGATACACTATTAACAATGTCCTCTGCCTTCCTTTTTTAGGCAGTTCCTCACCTTTCCCCTTCTCAGGGTGCTTTGGATATTTTGGGTTCTACTAGCTCCTATAGTTTTTAAACTAAGGGATCAACCTGTTATCTATCTGAGTGTGCTGAACCTTTTTACCCCTGAGCTTGATCTTGAGCTGTACTCCTTTACTTACTAAAGTCACAAAGGTTTTTCTTCCTTCCAGCTGTGTAGTTCTACACTGCACATAAGTGTCATAGCTTTCCAATTTACCTGTAGCTGCTGGACGAGTTGTGCCTATTTCTCTCTGGTTTCCTGTCACACACAGCATTGTTTTCTCACCTTTGACTCTCAGTTTATTAACCCTCTTTCTGGTTGAGTATATTTCCTATTCAGAGCATCTCGATGGATCCTGCCTCCTAATCTACTCTGTCTGTGTTTCTTTTTTGTTAGTGTATCAAGACAATCTATATTAAAAATTATAGCTTACCGTCTCTGCCTCATCTCTGCTATTCTATTCTTCTGCTATTATTTGTCCACTTTACTCCTTCATTCCATTGTCTGCCCCGTTCATTGAGGCCTCTCTGCCACTGTTGCTGGAATCTTGGTATTTTTTCCTCTCTCTCTCTGGAATGTCCTTCAGTATTTTTTGAAGGTTGGGTTGGTGGCCATGAACTCCCACAGTTCCTCCCTGTCTTGGAAATATCTTGTTTGTCCATTAATTTTGAGAGAGAGTTTTGCCAGGTACATCAGCCTTGGTTGGAAGTTATTTTCTTTCCCCCCAGGTTCTTCTCAATTTGAGAGTTTGTGTTGATAAGTCGGTCATTATTTTGATGATTTGTCCTTTGTAGGTAATCTGTTTCTTTTCTCTGACCGCTTTTAATATTCTGTTCTTATGGTGGATTTCTGGTATCTTGATTATTATATGTCTGGGTGTAGATCTGTTTTGGTTGTAGGTGGCTGGAGTTCTGTATGCCTCATTTATCTGGATATCATTTCTTTTTCTTTTTCCTATGCTTGGAAAGTTTTCCTTAATTATATCTGAGAATATTCTTTGTAGTTCATTTGTGGTTATTCCTGCTTCTTCATTTACATTTTTTATTCTTAAGTTATAAACCCTCTTGTCATCTTCTAGCCTTTGAATTGTTTCTTCCTGGTTCCATGTTATTTTTAAGAGATCTTTTCTTTCACGATCACATATCATAAATCTCTCTTCAAGTTTCGAAAGGCTAACTTTAGTTTCTGTCAAGGAATTTTGCCAGCTTTCAATGAAGGTTTTAGTTTCCTGGTAATCTCCTTGGATCTGTTTCATGTATTCTAGATTTTGTTTATATTCTTCATCAAAGGTTTCTCTTCCTTTTCTGAGTTCCTCTGTTCTTCCATATGTGTCCTCTTGGGAGGGGCTTATCATTTCTTTAATTAATCTTTAATTAATCTTGCCTCACTTGGATCAGAAGTACAGTTTTAAGTTCATCTATGAGGTTATGAAGGTATTTCTTTACGTTCGCTGATGCTGTGTCTAATACTGCATGATTACTGCGCTGGTTCTCTTCTGTATTTACCTCTCCTGGGCTTATTTTCCCAGAGTCAGTGGCTGGAGGGTTTTTTTTATTTCTATCTCTTATCATGTTTCTGGTTTCTTTCAGACAGGCGTGCCTGGGGATCTCTTGCCCTCTCCATATTGCTTAGGGTCTTTCCGAAGCTTGCTGACTGGGGTTTTGCTGCCTTCCCCAATTTGCTGTTATCTGAGGTACAGGCAAGGATGCCGGGACAGTGCAAGCTAGCTTCTAGCCTCTGAGCCAGTCCACCTGCAGTTTCCTTCAGGGACTTATGTTGTACCTTGTGGATGTCACAGAGTCATGACCTTTTTGTCCTTGGCTATTGGGTCCCAACCAGAGGCGTAGCTCAGCCCCAGCAGAGCCCACCTATCCTCTCTGCACCAGGGACAGCCGACTCATGCCGCTGCAGTGCCGGGCTCTGCCCAACTCCAAGATGTCCTCCAGCCAGCGACAGCAGCCACGGGACCCAATCCCCAGCACTCACTCCGAATCAATGCAGCTTCTCCTCATGACTCTACTCCACGCCACACCATCCTCTTGCCAAGGCCTCTGGACTCAACAATTCCCGTTATCGGCAGCTGTGGCTTCAGCTCCACCTTGAATCGCCTGACTCCACGGCCCTCCCAGCACAGCTATCAGTGAGCGCACAGAGCTCCAGCCCTACACTCGTGTTTTTCCTTCCTCCACAGAGGTAGATTCTAGCTTGATGTGGTTTTTCCACATCTAGATCAACATCCTGCCTCTTCAGAAAACTGAGCAGCGCAGCGCCCAACTTTGGCACCCAGGTGCATGGTCCTCTCCATGGTCTCCTCCAGCGTGGGGCCACGGGACCCAATTTCCAGTACTCATCCAGAGCCAATAAAGCTCCCCCCTTGGCTCCACTTTAAACTGCTCCGCATCTCACTGACAGTCAACTGTCTCATTGACTGTCAACTCATTGACTCCCATTATTGGCAGCCGCAGCTTCAGCATGACTTTGGATCATCGGACTCCAGGGCGCGCCCAGCACAGTGTGGAACGGTCCTAGGTGAGTGTGTTGGGCTAAAGCCTTCCATCTATGCTTTTCCTTCCTCTTCCTACTTTTATTTTTTCCCTTTGGTTTCCTCCTGGCTTAATAAAAATCATCCTCGAAATGTCTGGCCCTCTTCATGCTGTCAAATTCTAGCATCTGAGCTGCTTTCCCCCCACAGAGGCTCTCAATCCAGCCCCCTATCATTTTTCAGCAATTTATAAACTATGAACTAGAAAAGGTAATAACTTAGGCTCTAAAGTCATCTGTACGAAAAGAAAATGAAGGAATTACCTTTCCCATACATTCAATGTAAACCCATATTTTGATATACACTGTATACAACTTAACTTTTTTATTATAGTCAAGGTGTTTATCACACAACCTGGCTAGATTGTGTAATACAGTTGTCTTAAAATTCAACAAATCTACTTTTAAAGACCCTACCGACTCTATAATCTAAGTAACTGGAGTTTTTTGTTTGTATTTTTGAGACAGGGTTTCACTAGGCAGTTCAGACTGGCCTTGAACTCACTTTGTGTAGCGCAGGTTGGCCTTAAACTCATAGAAATCATCCTGCCTCACCCTCGTGAATGCTGGGATTACAGCATGCCCAGCCACCATGCCCCTCTGTTAACTGGAGTTTTAATGTGCACATTTGATGGCTATATAAAATATATTATCTTGAACCTAGTTTATAATTTTGAATCTATACTTGAATGAACACTTAACTGTCCACCTGATTAAATATATTTCTCAGAATTCTTACCCTATTCCTGAAACCTATTTGGACTTAAATTGTGAGGATGAGGAAGCATCCCCTCCCAGACAGACAAATCAAACCACCTTTCATTCCTGACATGGACCTTGTCTTCCAGAGCTCACTGGTATGTTCCAGAAGATAGAATTCACAAACAAATATTTTAAAGACGTGACTCACACATCGTTTAATTCTTACATAAATTAAAATGTAAGTGCAAAGCAACCTGTGTTTCTATTTAAAATATTTAAATGGGAAAATATAATCAGAGAAACACATTTATATGTATGTATGATTTAACCCTTCTAATGACTAAATATATTCATCACAGTATATCGGCTATAACTGAAGAGTCATATTAACTTACCTTTCCTGGTGTCTTTAAAATACATTTAACTTTCTCAATGACATCAGAAACATCTCCAGAATCTTTCAACTTCTTCCTGATATCCTCTTCCAATTCTTCCCACTGAAAAGCACCTGTAACAGATTAGCACGTGTTAGACTTTGCTGCGGCAGCAGGGGATGTAAGAAAATAAACTTACTAGATAGCAATATCCCCTTTACTAGGAACAGTATCTTAATCATACGTTTCATTTACCAAACAAATGTCCTCATAATTAAAGGATATGTTTATCAACTCATTTCATTAAATGATACATTTAAATCAACTCATTACAGGACACATTTAACAATGCATTTTCAAGAGATCAGTCTGCCTTCCTTAAATTCTCTCTCCAAGTCTGACATTGCTGGCCCAACCCCGCCGCCACTACTCTGTAACAGTTGCCAGCCCCTCCCAGCTCTGAGTTCAGCCCTACCAGAGCAGAGCGGTGACCTCTGGGTAGAGGGCTACGCAGACGGAGCCCAAGGCAAGCAGAAGCTCTAGCGAATGGGCAGATCAGAACAGGACGCTGAGCGAAGGCTGCAAAACCAGCCTGGGGAAGACAGCCAGATCATTTCCTGATGCGCCCACCACATGACCATGCCAGCGAGGCAAATCACCCGACCCAGCCCTGCTCACCCATTTCTCACTCCAGCCCACTTCCAATCATCCCTTCCTGAGCTCCCTTTAATGTGCCTCCACTCTATGGACCCCTTTTCCTCTGGGTCTCCTCAAACTCCTATTCTTACAGAGTCAGGGAAATGTCACCTTTTCTCCCTCGGCGGTCCTGCAGTAGCCTCCTAACCCGCCTCCCTGCTCCCCAACGACCTCTTCCCCTTGGACTCTATCCTATTACTTGATGCTGAGAAGTTTGAAAAGCATGATTCTGATCATGATACTTCTGATCATGATACTTCATCCATGCCAAGACCTCAAGAAAATCCTAGCTCCTTAAAGTAGAATTCTATACATGCAGTGAAGGGCACAGGCAGGAGACCCAGAGTCTACTCTGCCTCTGCCATTAAACAGCCATGAGTTTAAGCCGAACACGTCATCTCTCTGGGGAATTTCAGGTCCTTCTCTAACTGTCTGCAATCCAATTCTGCTGTGCCCTGCCTGTATCCAGCACTTTGCCGATACCCTTGTGCATACTGAGGAAAGGGGAGGTCATGGGATGCATACATATTAAACTGAGACCAGGCAGAAGCAAACCAGACCAAAAGGATCCGACTACTAATCCAGAGGTTTTGGGGGCTCCTTGCCGCTGAGCCCTGCTGTGCCTCTAGTGTGTCCTGGGCAGATGGGGCCCTGACACGTAGCATTGGCCATTTCTGTGAGTCACAACTCCCATCAAGAATACTGGAATGTCTGTGTGTGGTACAGAAAAGAGCATACTACAAATAATTCCAAGAAGGGGAGAAGGTGATCCAAAGTGACCAAGAAAGCTCTTTCCACCTACTCTTCCACTCTGGCAGAATTTTAATACATGTTGGGAATTCTAAAGGCCATCTGTGACAGGAAGAGCTAAAGCTACATTCTTGAGGCTCTGACAAATATTTCAATTCCTGACTGTCTGAGATCATATGACTCAGGAATTTGTAAGCACAAGACTGTATTAAGTATTGTAGGAATGTTAACAACTATATCCAAGGAAGGATTACCCCCCAAAACCCAGATACTGCAGGTCTCACTTTGCCAGGACTCCTTCTCCTTGAAGCACTAGACCTTAAATACACTTTATACAGTGTTTCTCACTTATTGTAATGGTTAATACATTGTGTAAACTTGACAGGTTTAGAAGTTTAAGGATTCAGCAGGGGCCAGGGTCCTCACTTTGTAAACACCCTCATCCTGTGCAACCGGAGGACAGGAGATGGTGTAAGCCGTACACCCGCCCTAGAGTGAGGGGCCTGCTTACAATGTTAGGGGCAAAAAAGAGTCTTGCTCTACCCCACCCCTGTGGCCCTTGGTGTTTTGTTGTCTGCTGCTGCCTTGAAGTGTTGCCCCTGTGCCATGTCACCCTACCGTGGAGCCAGCTCAGTGGGGACTGAAACCTCCACATAGAGAAAATCCCTTCCCTCCTTAATTTTGGGTACTTTGCAGCAATGAAAGAAAAACAACGAAGACACATCCAACGGAAAATTCACCTTTACAAGATGGACATAGCTGGATTGTGATTATTCATTCAAAACTTTCATCCAGACAATAAATGGAAGTGATACACATTGGTATAAATTATTAAGCAGACTATTAAACAGGTCCCTCTTAAAGAACTAAATGTCCATGGTATATAATATATACAAAATTTCAACTCCCTAAAGATAATAAGTATGTCACTTACAAACAATTAAGATGCTCTTTTGTCATCGAGTTCTTTTTTGGAAGAGGGGAGGAGAGAAACCAGCAGGACACAGGTTTACTGTGGCTTTTTAGCTCCTGTTTGCTCAGGACAAACACTTCCTGGCCCTGCCTCCCTGCGCCTGTCCAGCTGGCGTGACTCACAGCAGTCCGCCTCAGCCCCAGTCTGCCTGAATATAACCCCTGGAAAACTGCTGCTCTTTAAGGAAAACACAGAATAGAACTGGTTTGTTTGTTTTGTTCTGTTAGTCTTTTTGAGACGGGGTCTTGGTATGCAGTTCAGGCTGGCATTGGGCTCACTCTGTAGCCCAGGGTGGTCTCAAACTTGCAAGGATCCTCCTGCCACAGCCTCCCAGCGCTGGGATTATAATCATGCACCACCACGCCTGGCTTAGAGCTATATTTTAACACGGTGTTTTGTTTGAAGGTTTTAAAATGTGCCAGAGGAAAAAAGCATTGGAGACTCTAAGAATGCAGATTTAGATGTCTTCTTCGATTTGATTAAATAAAAAAAAGAAACGAAAAACTTTTTTAAAAAGAGTAACCTCCACAAACAAGGACTGGGGGGGGGGGGAGTAAAACCTCCTAATATGCAGACATTTTCTTTAAACAGTGGATTTAATAGTGATTTTTTTGTTTGCCTCTTGTAACAAATTTTATGCATTTTTCACGTATTTTTATACACTGTGTAAACACAACTTTATATCTTTTTAAACAGAATGAAATACAACTTTTGAGCCAGGCATGGTGGCACATGCCTGTAGTCTCAGCACCTGAGAAGTTGAGGCACCAAGATGGCTGTGAGTTCAAGGCCAGCCTGGGCTATGTAAACAAGTTCAAAGCCTGCTTGAATTGCAAAGTGAGACCCTGTCTCAAAAATAAAATAAAATAAAAAAGCAATACAACCTTTGCTAGAGTCAGAGGTTATCTTCTGCGTTAAGGTACTTGCAAAACCAATTATTTCCATTCTCTCAATCAGCATCAGGGTCTCCTATAGCCCTAGACTGGGGCCGTGCACCTCTCATACCCAGGGCACCTCCAGCCTTAGCTGTAACATAGAGACAGATGAGGACGGAGCAGAAATGCAAAGGCTCCATCATGCTGGGGCAGAGAGGGAGCCCTGGGCAGACTGAGTGGCTCAGGAAGCTTTGCACACACTTGCCACACCCTCCTCCCTATCTCTTAAATGCTTTCTCCTGGCTCAGTTGGTTTCTCCCCAGTGGCTAAGCACCCAGCTTCCGGCACTTTGGCAGAGGACCCAATAGAACCCCAGCTCTGAACAGCTCAGGGTCAGTCAACCTTGTGGCTGACGTCACCTAGACTCTGTGCCTTAAATAATAATAGAGCCCTGCCCTCCCCTCCCCTCCCCTCCGTTCCTCTTCCCTCCTCTCCCCTCCCTTCCCCTTCCCTCCCCTCCCCTTCTCTCCCCTCTCCTCTCCTCTGCCTCAGACTTGAATTCCAAGCCCTGACTTGCAGGCTGTGGTGGATCCCCACTTTTCCCCCCAGCACTGATTAACTGTGAGATCATTCAAAATACAGAATACTGCATCCCCCAGTCCGGGCCTCCTCAGAATCCAAACCTGCACAGAAGTAGAGCACCAGGTGACTTGTAGTAGCTTAGGATCTGAACGCACTGGGCCAGGCCACACCACTCGCCACCCCAGTGCTGGCCTTCCTGTGGCAGTGGGCCAGACGATGGGCCACCCCACTGGACTCCAATCTTGCCTGCTCTTTCACAGTCTCTCACCATCAGAGGAGACAGAGACAGATGCACTTTCTAAAGCCCAATGAGGACTGGGCATTCGGCTCAGTGGGGAGCATTTGTGAGGGCCTAGACTCCAGCCCCACCCCCAGGGATGAGGGATCCCCCAGCACAGCTTCCAGGGAGGACAGGAACAGTTCCCACAGGCCTTGCCTGGCTCCCCATCACTGCCTCCTCTATGCTCTGGCCCCAGGAAACTCCCTGTGGTCTCTTGGAGAGCACAGTTCCCAAGGACTACATTTCTTTCAGGCAGAATTGAGAAGCAGACTAATTTTCAGAGAGCAGCAGCGAGAATGCAAAAAGGACTCCTCACAGGTAACTGACTGGGCAATGGGTCTGGGGTACAGGAGCTTCCCTCCTCCCTGCCTTTTTTCCCATCTGCACACATTCATTTTGCAACTTCACAATACACTCACGAAGAGAAAGTCAGGAGGTTCAGCCACCGGAGACATTTTATTGCTATTGTATTACAGAAGATGGAACTGCCTTTGAGGGGTCCTGCACCTTTGAAAGGACTGAGTGGATACTGTGGGAAACTTGCTAAATAATTCATAGAACTTCAGCAGTAACATCACTGGAAAGTCAAACACATCCTTCATCTTCCTATACGTGTCAGTAAAATCATTTTTTCTTTTAACCTGCGAACATTTTAGTTTCTCAATATTAATCTTAAATTCTGAACTGTGATAGTCAAACTAATCTGTAGCACTAAATGAAGTCCTCAACCAGTCTGGCTTGTTCCTATGCTGGTCCTCAGCTACTAGAACCTGCTCCGTAATGCAACTGAGATACGGGAACCTGCCTTACTGGAGGCGTGTGTGGGATGTGGGCATATTTATGTTTTTCAACTGAATATTCACAGACCACTCATTAGATTGCTGTTTGAGATAGATACAGATATTTTATATACATATATATTCCCACACATATTCCTATACATTCCCATATATATACATACATAATTTTTTACTCATATAAATCTGCATGTGACAACTGTACTTTTCGAAGCCATAATTCAAATCTTAACTACCAAATTTAACTACCAAAGTTATGTAACCACAACTCAAATGAAAAAAGTTAAATATGGAATAGAATTTGTTGTAACATTAAAGAAAATTTTACAACTGTATATGAAAAACTTATGAACACAGGAAGGAAAAAATGTTTAAGATAGTCACAGCTATATCTGACCAGATCTTAACTAAATGTGCTCCTTTCCAGCTTCTAAACTGAATGCAGTTTTCTTCTTCAATTTCTTCCAAAGTTAAGCATCTAACTAAATGAATGAAGTTTCTAAGGTACAGATGCTGACTTCATATGCACTTGCAAAATTTTCTTTCAACAGACAAACTCTATTTCACATTTTGGATTTTTTTAAAATAAAATATGAATAATCCTGCTTAGCAGGAGATTATCATTTTTACAAATAGATCTAAAACAAATACAGTAGTGTGCCCACAAAAAAAAAATACAGTAAGGGTAAGAAGCGATGCTCAACATAAGCCATTATGGAACTGCAAATCAAAACTACAAATGAGATTACCGTCTGCAACCCACGAAGGTACAACTATGAAAAAGCAGAAAATCACAACTGTGGATGGAGATGTGCACGGAATGTGGCACAAATGTAAGGGGTAAAGACACTATGGGAGAATATAGACATTCCTAAAAATTAAAAATTCAGTTACCCTATGACCTGAAAGGCCTGGCTACACAAAAAAGAATGGAAAGCAAGGTACCAAAAGAAATACATCTACAGCATGCTAACACCACAGCAGAATTAGTCATGTGCAACGCACACGTCCCTAATGGAGAAATAGGTAATACGGCAGGCTACACACATGAAAAGCCCTGGGTTCAATCCAAGTCCCTAGAGGAGCAGTCAAAACCACACAGACCCAGAGCAAAAGGCTGGGAGACACGGAAAGGAGTCAGGGCTTCACAGGCACAGAGTTTTATTTTCACACAATAGAAAGTCACCAACTGTTGGTGCTGGTTGTGCAACACAATGCTCGTGTTTAACAGGACTGAGCGTACAGTTAAAAATGGTTGAGATGAGTATTTTGTCACTACTTAAAAATCTGGTTAAAAGCGGAGTGTGGTGGCTCATACCTGCAATCTCAGCGCTCAGGAGGCTGAGGCAGGAGGATCGTTTTGAGTTCACGACCAGTCTGGGCTACAAAGTGAGCTCAAGACCAGCCTGAACTGCACAGTGAGACCCCTTCTCAAAAAAAAAAAAAAAAAAATCTGGTTAAAAAAAAAGTGAGTCTGTAAGGCAGGCAGACAGCCCAGGTGCATTCACATGGGTGTGTCAGTGCGCGTGCAACCAGATACCTGAGTAAATGAAGCGCAGGATGGGGGCCAAGCAAGAACAGAAGACCACGTCCTTGACAACCACGCGCAGCGGCGGGTTCCCCGGGGAGGCCCGGCCAGCGGGCGCTGCAGGGTCCCGGCTCACGGCGAAGAGGTCCTGCGCCGTCCGCACGATGCTGGCGTCCTGCACGTCGGCGGCGCTCTTCACGCTGAACAGCAACATGAACACGTGGCTGACTGCGCACAGCACGATCTTGTGCGCCTGTGCCACTTCCTGCAGGTCGGGGTGGAAGAACACCACATCCACGCACTGGCAGCAGAACAGCAGCTTGTTCAGGTCCGAGTTATAATGCGAGGCTTCGGCCTTTAGGACAGGCATCTTCTCTGTTTCAAAAAAGAAAATTTCCCAACACAAGTCACAGACATCACAGGACCCGTGTTTACAGCAACACAACTCAAATAGCACCATCTTGGAAGTGGCCTGTATGTCCATCAACAGACGAATGGATAAAGATAAGATGGTTTTTGCACACTGGGGAGTACTACTCAGCCATAAAAAGGATTAACGCATCATCTGTAGGCAAATGGCTGCATCTAGAGGCCGCAATGTCACGTGCAATAAATCAGACACCCAAGCATACATGTCACATGAGAAACCCAAAGCTTAAAGAGCAAAATAAAAGATAACAGGAAGCAAAGAGATTAATATTTTGCAAGTGAGAAGGTGATCAGGAGTTGAACGGAGGGAGAAGGGAAGGGACAGGAGGGGAAGGGCATGAAAACAGAATTAAGATGTGTTAGGTACACCCACCAACACCACACCAGAATGCAATCATTAAGCACTGCAAACATGGACAAACACAAATTAAAATTTAAATTAAAAAGAAGATAATAAGCTTTTTTTCAGGTCTATAGATTCAGTAATTTCAGATCTACTTTAAAAGTAGAGCATTTTTAAATATTGAGTTGAGTTGTAAGAAAGGTCTGGTACTTGACCTTTTTTCACCTACAAAACAATTTCAGACAGCTTAGCCCACATACGCGAATAATTTTTCAGGGATTGTGTAACACAAAAACACAAATCCTGTGTCAATTTTATAGTGCAAATGAGCACATGCCCATAATCCCAGCACTTGGGAAGCCGAGGCAGGAGGATCGTTGCAAATTTAACACCAGCCTGGGCTACAAAGTAAGTTCAAGGCCAGCCGAACTGTCTCAAAGAGACAAAAAGAAAAAAAAAAAAAAAAAAAGATAGTCAAATGAAAAAAAACCTGATAACATAAAGAACCATAAAATAATAAAATAAATTTCTCATTACCTGTGTGCTCCAAAATAAAATACTCCAAATGCTAAACTTTAACATTTTGGTAATCACCATTGTTTACTTCTCCCAGATAAACTATTCAAAGTACTGAGTAAGTTCGGAAGAATCGGCTTCCACCTGAAGTCCTTTGTGTCTTGGGAAGGGAGACAGGTCCAGGGCTGAGCTGTTCAAATGCTACAGCTTCCCAGTGCTGGCCTTGAGGTCTTGGACTCCACCTTTTGAAAGCGCCATGCCTGTTTTATTTTGATCTGGCGTTTGTCTTCCTACTAAAACACTATGCTCCCCAGAATAGCTTTTCCTACTCCACACCCTGGCAAGCGAGATTTCCCATCAGTTTTGGCACCACAGACCCCACCTTACACGCTCCACCTTCTGGCTTTTCCCCATGGCCCAGCCAAGGGAAATGAAGAGCCACTGGAAGGACCTGCAATTGTCTCAGTCCTTGGAATTCAAACTTCCGTCAGTGAAACTGAAAACCCTTTATTCTAAAGCAAAGCCCAGACTCTATACAGATAACAAAGGACTCTGGGCTCCCTGCACTACACCCCACCCACCCTTTCTTCTGCTGTCTGTGGGAGCCTCCAGCCTCCAGTGCTAAGCAGCATCTGTGAGCTGCATGCCCTGGAGCCCAGGATACATCTTTAGAACAAGTCAGCCCCAGCGCACTTCCCCGATCGAGATCCTGGGCCCCGCCTTGTGTTTAGTGTTATACCCATGGTTCTCTTTGCTCAAGGATAGAAGAAACAGCCCTGTGAGCCAAGCATGGTGGCACAGACCTGCCATCCCAACACTCTGGGAGGCTGAGGCAGAGGATCACAAATTCTAACTTAATCTGGGCAACTTAGGGACTTAGCACAACCATGTCTCAAAAATAAAAAGGGCCGGGGGGCAAGGTGGTACATGCCTGTGGTCCCAGTGCTTGGGAGGCTGAGGCAGGAAGACTGCTGAGAGTTCAAGGCTAGCCTGGGCTTCATAGTGAGACTTTGTCTCAAAACATAAAAACTAAATAAAAAAGGGCAAGGGATGTAGCAGTGTGAAGGCCCTGGTTTCAGCTTGTAGTACGGCCCCACCAAAAAACAAGCTGGGCATGTTGACACATATCCAATGGCCCTTTTAAAATTTTTATTTTGAGCAGAACCTCACACCTTGCTCAAGCTGACCTCAGGCCTCAACCTCCTGCGTTCAAGGACCTAATTTTTGAGGGAGTCCAAACTGGGCTCAAACTCGCTGAATGAGTGGGCTCTGGGCATGCCAATCCAACAGTCATCCCAAGACCTGTGAGGAGTGATTTATAATGAACTCCACCCCAAAGTCTACACACCTGGTTGCTCAAGTTGCGGTGGTCGAATGCCGTGAAATGAGCTGCTCATTTTCCTCTTCTTCATTTTTTCACTTGTCTTGTGGTTTAAGGCTTGAATCATAAAGTATTCCAACTAAAACAAGAATTAAATCTGAGTTAGAGCTCCCAGAAAACAACCTGTTATGATTATTTGTATTTGAAATTGTATTTGCCAAGTGATTTTGTGATGCTAGGGACTGAACTCAGGGCTTTTCCACTGAGCATATTCCCAGCCCTTTTTAAAAAAAATTTTTTTTTTGAGACAAGGTCTTGCTAAGTTGCCCAGAGTGGGTTTGAAACCTCCCAGAGTTGTACCACCACGCCTGGCTTTCCAATTATTTTTAAGGTCATTATCATGCATTAGTAAATACCTGTAAATAATTTGTAATCTTAAGAATGTATCTAAGGGGAACAGGTTGTACCTTCTCTAAACACAAATAAACCTACCTAGTCAAGAAGGAATTATTTTCTTGAATAATCAAGAAGCCACAGACTACAACTGGGAGGTACCACTAATTTTCTTAGTGGCCAACCAATGCAGGGGATGGTAGTGACATTCAAGGCAGAGCAGAACTGGCTTTATACCTCTAGATGTATAGGCTAGAAAACTTACTTTTTTCTCTTAAACAGGTGTCTTTGAAATCTATCCCCTACCAATCAACCATCTCATGCACATGCCCTCTCTGGCTCCAGGCCTATGATCTTCTTGCAAGGCCTGCGTTAAAAGCACAGTGGATGTCCCTCCACATAACTAGACATTTAAATGGTGTAAATCAAAAAGCAAAACTGGTGTGGAAAAGATATGCTATGCTCTTGTGTTGACAAATATATTAACATAAAGGCCTGGACAAGCAGACTGAGATTCAAATTCTCAGACCCCTGGGAGGGTCGTGCAGCACAAGGAAGGAAGACCCCACCTCCTGAACCTGAGGACAGCCTCTCCTTTACTCAGCCCAGCTCCATCTGCTGTCCCCATGTACCCAAGTGGCCATGCAATCTCTGCCCTCTCTCTCCTCCTCAATCCTGTAAAGCCACCCCGGATCCCCAGTCAGGCCTCAGCACTGCAGGCCACCATTCGGAGGACAAATCCAGGAAAAACACATCCATGAGACCAGGGCACAGACTCTGGGCCAGAGATTCTGGGACCTGGGGTTTGGGAACAGCGTCACAGCACCATCCAACAGAATTTTCTGTGCTCACGGAAAAGCTGCACCATCCAGTAGAACAATTGCCACCTACATGAGCCTACAGAGCACCTGAAATCTTGAGGAACTGAATTATTTTTTACTATTGTATCTCAATTAATTGACACATAACTAGCCACATGCAGTGGCAACCATCAGAGCTGGGGAAGATCTCAGAGGGGAACTGGCCGTACCAGTCCCGGTGGGCACATCCTCTTGCCTCCACCAATGTGTGCCCTGTAAGAAAGAAGGGATGCAGTGGGACAAAGGCCAGGCAAGGCCCCCTGAAGCTGCCAGGCAGGCGCCCCCCGACCCACGTCTGGAGGAAGCACTCGTAGCTCTTCTCGTCTGACTCCTACACACCAGTGTTAACTGCCCTTCCACGCCAGCACTATCACCGCCATCCACATGCTGCAAATGCCTTCTTCCTTACACTCATGATCTCAGCTGCACCTTACCGTGAAAAAGAGTCTAAAAGGAGAGATCTTTCTGATCCTATTTCACATTCCTGTCAAGTCTTGGGTTTAGTAAAACAAAAGAAATGACCATGTCCACCTGCCAATCTTGACCACATCTTCAGTTCTGCTCGTACCTCTATTCCTGGATGAATGGGCAGTGTTAGGAAGGAAGAGAAACAGACAGAAAGAAAAGAAAACAAAGTGGAGCTGGAAGGTGGGAAAAGGGATCCTCGTGTTTCAGGCTTGTGAACTAACACGGGCAGCCAGGAGATCCAGGGCTCCCCATAGAATGGGGATCCCCATCTTTAAATGAAACCACATCCAGCCAACAAAACATTGAACAAACAACCCCAAAACAACTTGTTTGTCCCAAGCCACTAGGTATTTAGGGAAATGCACAATTCTCTATGCAAATTAAGATTTTTAAAGGCCACTACCATAAAACTCCTGAATAAATCATAGCCATGTGCATTTGATAAAAATCAGCAGCATTTACACTGGTTTATTATCTCAGCCGGGTGAGTCAGCTCTGCAGCTACTTGTGGAAACCTCAACGTTTCCACACGGATGCACTAGTGCAGATTCTGACACACTGGGAAGAGTACTGAGCAAAGAGTCACAACGGATGGAGAATTTCCAATGGCCCTGCTCCACACGGAGCTTGGCTTTAACCCCTTGTGAATGGTTATCGGATTTGTCTGTTGAGTCATGACTGGAGCTCTAAGTGAGTAAAATCTTACCTGATCCAACTCCCAGGTCCTTCTCCACAGACCTGCAAGACCGAGTACTACAGATTGGGAGCTATGTGAGCCTCCAGTGTCTGTGAGATGCAGTCAGTGCCTTATAACTGCGCAAGCCTACCCTCGCCCCACATATCCAACACAACACTGTGTCAGTGGCCCCGCTGAGAATGTCTGAACCCCAAGGAGGTTAGGATGTGAAATTTTGTCAAAGCATGGACAGAGAAGGAAAAAATCATTACTTTCAAATAGTTGATGGACTCTTTCATTTGGGGAGATAACGAGTCATTTTACTCTGGTAAAATCTTTGCTGCTTATTTTCATTTCATTTCTCTAGGTCAATGATGGTAAACATTTTAGGGCTTTCAATGATGATGAACAGCCGGCTCAGCACACGCACAATGGGCTCGCCACCAGTGGTCTAGTTGAGACTAACCGTCCTTTTAAAACTAAAGCTCTAATTGATATTCTAGAGAGCAGCTGAAGAGCTACCGGGCAAACGACTTCATCCACAACAGGCATTTCTACTCACCACACCCCCGAAGTACTTTCCTATGTAGAAGTCATCCAGGCTGTGTAGTTCAAGGTAAGTCGCTCCTAGTTCTTTAGCCAGCTGGATGCCTTCTGTTGTACTGACACAGCTCCCTCGGTCGGAGGTACACAGAGGGCAGGTACAGGGTAATTCATCTGAGAGAATGAATTGGAAAAGAATAGAAGCTTGAAATTACACCAAAAAAATGCACAGAAAATAGGATCAGTGAATGGCAAATTAAGTGATCAAACTAAAGCCACTGTGTGACTAGAGTGTCAATAACAGAAAAGTCCCTACACAGCAAGTATTCACTGCAAGGAAAAGAAACAGTATTTCACAAAACAGAAGAATTTAAACTGGGTGTTGGTGTTGCATGCTGTAATCCCAGCACTCGGGAGACTGAGGCAAGAGGGTCGCTGAGCTTGAGGCCAGCCTGGACTGCACAATGAGTTCAAGACACTCTGAATGACACAGTGAAATGCTGTCTCAAAGAAAAAAGAGAGAGGGAGAGAAAGAGAGAAAAGAATTTAATAATAGTTGCATGAGTGCTACTAACCTGGTATAGCAGTTAGACTAACCTGCCAGTAATGTTAGACATGCTGCTTTTTACACAGCCTTGACATCCTGACTATCATGTCTCGGCTGGTGGAAAAGAACTTAAATTTAGTAACTATATGGCCCATAGAAACCATGAAAAGCAGAGGGCTGGATTTTTGGAAAGTAATAAGTATAAATATATTCACCAAGTTTGAATCAATCTCAGACTCCTCAGCTGGACCTCATCTCCAGGCTGCAACCTGCCACTCTCTTGGTTAATTTCATACGGAATACATTCTTACTAATCATCTGACTCTGAAGCATTCAACTTCAGAGGCCAAATGCAATCACTTTTTATCCAAGATTAAAACATTAAAACCTGAAGGAAAAAGAAGTATTTACTCAAAAATAAACTGCCTCAGGCTTTGAGATTGCATCACACATGTATGGCTGCAAAGGTGTGGACAGCCCATCCATAAGAACAGTTCTTACTAAGGCTAAAAATACATGTTCAACTCGAATTCATCAGCTCACTTGGTTTCGTTTTAGTTTTTGTTTTTCATGACCACATTGGTTGTGTCACCGTTCAAAAGGCAGCCGATTCAAAGGACAGGAAAGTCACTTCTAGAAATGTTCTCGGCTGCAGGCTGGCTTCCTGGAATCGCCCACCTCAGGGACTGGCAAGTAGGAGGGCTGACCTGGGGATGACTCTTCTCAGGCCTGAGGGATGCGGTCTGGGTGGAGGGAAAAGCTAAACTGCCGTGCAGCTGTACCCGAGACGATGGCTGACCCCGCAGGGCGCCATGGGCCAGCCAAGACCCGCTCCTCTATCAGTGAAAGGCAGCTGGCCTTTGCATGCTATTCCTAACTCGCCCAGAAACTAGCTGAGGGCCACATCCACGAGCAGCCCACCCGTGGGCAAGGCAGTTCCATCAGCTGAGAATAGCAGCTGGCAAAGGGCCCGGCTGGACTCACTCCCAACCAGCCTGGGCTGAGGCAGTGGGGATGATGGCCCTGAGAGGGCGTTTGATGCACAGCCAACTTCCTGGCCACGGCCTGACACGGGTGGAATACATACAAGGGGTGATCAAGATATACGGTGAATGTGCAGACTTTTAAAATATATTACAGTAAAAGACACATGACTGTTAATCCCCCTCGAAATCCCTGCCCTCACTCCACACACACTTCCTGCCACTTTCTGAAGCAGCTCTGGAAGTGCTTTGCCATGAGTCCCTCGTAGAAGGTGTGATCGAAAACTTGGTTAAGGCTGCTGCTGAGTGCCACCCAGGAGAAAGCAGGCTCACGAAACCACACAGGGTATTCTCATCCACTTCATTCCCTGGACAGGGCACTGGGTGACTTCTGGCTCTTCCCCAAAGACAAATGACCATGAATGGGCAACATTTTCAATCAGCAGAGGAAACCAAGGCAGCCACGACAGCGCAGCTAGACATATGTCACTGCTTCAAAAATGGCGAGAATGATGTGTGGTGAGTGAAGGGAGATTAGTGACCATGTACCTTTTAATAATAATAATTTTTCTGAAAAGTTAACATTTATGGGATTTTTTTGGTTACACCATGTGTGTCCACAGAGGCAGCATATGCTAAGGATATTCAGTGTACTACATGCTGTGTATATCGGCACATAGTAGGTGTCCACATGTGTCCACACAGCGACCCATGTGACTTAATTTTACCATCATCAAAAAAGTATTTTTAAACTCAAAACTGATAAATGTCCAGCCTCACTTTAGAGAAAACAGAGGCTCTGAGGGGTTATGCAACTTGTCCATGTCTCCTTGTGAGTTAGATGTAAGGAAACAACCAACTGTCACCTGCTCCACCTGATAAAATGCAATGACACTGGAAGACTGGATAATCAAGGCATGGAGGTACAAGGGCCTTACGTCCCCGCTACTTGAAAGGCTAAGGAAAATCTCAAGTTCTAGACCAGTCTGGGCACTTAGCAAGGCTTGGTCTCACAAACACTTTCTTAAAAAGGGTGCAGGGCTTGCTGAAGATGTAGCTTAATATTCTGTGGGCTCAAGCCTCAATACTGGGAGAAAAACAGAATAAAATTTAGCCTGGATAAAGAATTAACGGTTCCAAAAATGCATTCATTTTAAACCTCAAGAGTGGTTCTTTCATTATGCCATAAACTGTACTTTTTCCAAAATCATTTCATGTTTGGAGCGAGGTTTTCATCAAGAATTTAATCTCCCTTAACAAATAACACATTACCATTTTGCATTCTTTACAAAGCCTTCATAAACGATGTCACTGCTTTTCTGAAAACAGAGGCCTTCTCTTTCCTACAAAGGTCTCCTTATGTTCACGGAATGCGGTGGGCGCACAGATCATCTGGTTAAACTGTATTTCTGGATAAAAATCAGTAGAGTTTCAAACGAAAAATGAAATGAACACACTATAAAATAATGTCACAAATGGAGGGGGAAATACAACTAATTTTAGGTTTAAGTCAGGTGAGTGGGTTCTCCATTGTGTACTATAAACATCTTTCCAACACAAAACCCTGCCTATATCTGGTCCCTCCACCACCCCTGTGTCACCGAGATACTTCTTTTGGTTCACTCACCAAAATGAACAATGCCTGCTCACCATATTCGGCTACTTATTTGTCACTTGCCTACCCATCTTTTATCTGTATTTTTTTAAATGAAATCTTTTTGATAATTCTGGGGATTAAACCCAGGGCCTCACACGTACTAAGCAAACAGTTAATCACTAAACTATACCTGCAGCCCTTAAATACTATTTTTAAAAACCTTCTTCAACAGGCCTTTGTTTCTAGTTATTAGTTTAGTTTTGTTTTGTTTGTACCAGGGATTGAACTCACAACCTCATGCTTGCCAGTCAAGTGCTTGTGCCACTGAGCTAAATCTTTGGCCCCTATTAGCTACTTTGTGGTTGTCTTTTAAACCACTCCTATAGCTGGGCATGTTAGCAATGCCTATAATCCCTGCACTTGGGAGGCTGAGGCAGGTGGATTGCTATGAGTACAAGGCCAGGTTGAACTGCATAGTGAGATTCTGTCTCAAAAAAAAAAAAAGAAGAAAAACCAATGCCCATTTTTAGGAACTTAAGGCTATGAATAGCTTCTAGATACATTCTGGGGAAGAAAAAAAATCTCTTTTAAAGATAAACTTAACATTTAGTAAAAGCCAAAGTGTATTCAGAGCCACGTGTAATGAAAAGTCAAACTTGTCAAAAATATGTAACAAACAAAAGAGATGAGAATGATTATATTTGCTGAACAAGTTCTAAAAAGAGTTCCAAAGAATTAGCAGGAGAGCACCCAGAATAGTTTTATGTATTACAAGGGATGGGAGGAAGGCTGGCAATAAGCATTCTTCAGTTGAACAGCCAGATTTAACTCCGTAATTACTTTGTAATCATATCAAATATAGAAAATCAATTTCATCTTCCTAGTAAAGCAGATTTTTTCACCTACATTAGTCATAAAATCATTCATTCACTTATTGAACAAATGTCTATTGAATATCTACCACACATTGAGCACTAGAGATACACAGAAACATAAAAGATGCGCATAGTAAACCAAGCCAAGATAATCATGATTTCAACATAATATAATAAGCACTAAACTAAACGTACACAAAGTTAACACGAGTATCGGTCAGATTTCCCATTACTGGGACACAATAAACAATACTCACTATGTAAAGAAAAAAAAGCTTTAATTTAGCTCATGGTTTCTGGGAATTCAGTACATGGTTGGAGGTTCAAGGCAGAAATAGCATGGTGGAAGGTCATGGCAGAGCAAAGCCACTTAGTTCAAGGGGGCTAGGAAGCAAAGGTGGGGAGCAATACCAAAGAGGAAGATGCCAGCAATCCCGTACAGTACCCCAGGTCCTACTCCATGACCCCCAGACATACCAACAGTGTTCTCCTAATCCCCTGGGCATTTCTCAAGAAATCAAGTTGACACAAAGCCAACCACTGCATCCCATTCCCTGTTAATTTGATTGCCAGACACTTCTCCTTAAAACTATACTTAATCTCCAAACAAAGACAATAATAGCAAGCTCATAATTCTAAATCAGCAATCCTGCATACAATAAAAGTGCAACAATCCCTTCCCAAAACGTCAACAGCCCTAACATTGCTAAAATGTATAAATCAAAGTCTCCTCTGGTACTCAAGATGAACTTGTATCTGTGAACCCCTGTAAGAATCAAAATTAAGTTACAAAATACATGACACAGGGCAAATAGTCCCATTTCAAGAGTGGAATAAGGAGGTAAAATAGAACCAATGCAAGAAGGAAACCTAGGCAGTCAAACATTACATTTTGTAGCTCCATGTCTAAAATCTAGGACACACAGCAGTGAAGTTTGAGTTCCAGAGGGTTGGGAAGCCTCATCTCTATGAACTTGGAGGTTGTAGCCACAGAGCCTCTCTTTTGAGCTAGCTCCACTCTTAGGCTACAGTTTCCCTCAGTAAATGTCCCACATTCCTGGCATCTCTGACAGGAGCCAAGTCCTCCACTGCACCTTCAGCTTCATTCCCACAGCCTCATGCACTGCTCCTTGCCAGGCCTCCAGCTTTTTCTTTGAAATCTGAACAAAAGC